ACGTACCTGGTTGCAGTTTGTCCCCGGCCCTGGTTGGTCGTGCGGGTGGCAGCCACTCGATGTGTCCCTTCACGTGGATGTTTCTCTCTCTCTCTCTTCCTCTCTCTCCCTCCCTCTCTATCTGAACAAAAAAAAATGTCCTCGGGTGAGGATAAAAAAAAAAAAATGAAAGAATGAAAAGGGCCAGTATAACCTTGTTACCAAAGCTTGATAAGGACCTTACAAGAAAATGACAGGCCCAACTCTCACAAAAAGATACAAAAGTCTTAAAATGATGTGTTGGTAAGTGAAATCTAACAATGTATGAAAAGCATATTAAACCATGACCAGGTTGGATTTATTCCAGGAATGTAAATTAACATTAGAAAACCAATAAACGTACTTTAAACCACATACACAGAATAAAGGAGAAAGTTATTTGATAAAATTCAGCACCCATTCATAATAGCAATTCTATTTATTTATTTATTTATTTATTTATTTATTTATTTATTTTTAATTTTATGAATTTTTATTTATTTTTTTGTTACAGATATTTTACCTTTTTACCCCATTGGCAGCCCCCACCCCACCCGCCTCCACCCTGTCCCCGGCTTAGTTGTCCATGTCCATTGGTCATGCATACATGCATATAAGTTCTGTGGTTTATCTCTTCCCACCCCCCCCATCCCCTCTTCTGAGGGATGTCAGTCTGTGCCCTACTTCCATGTGTCTGGGTCTACTGTATTCCTCAGACTGTTATGTTCATTATATTCCGTATATCAGTGAGATCATGTGGTATTTGTCTTTTTCTGCTTGGCTTCTTTCACTTAGGATAATACTTTCCAGGTCCCTCCATGTCGTCTCAAAGGATAAGAGATCTTTCTTTCTTACCACTGCATAGTACTCCATTGTGCATATGTACCACAGCTTTTTTATCCATTCGTCTACTGGTGGACACTTGGGCTGTTTCCAGATCTTAGCTGTTGTAAATAGTGCTGCTATGAACATGGGGGTACATATATTCTTCCTGATTGGTGTTTCAGGCTTCTTAGGGTATATTCCCAGCAGTGGGATCACTGGGTCAAATGGAAGTTCAATTTTTAATTTTTTGAGGTAGCACCATATTGTTTTCCATAGCGGCTGCACCAGTCTGCATTCCCACCAGCAGTGCATAATAGCAATTCTTTGCAAGCTAAAACATTCAGAGAATTTGGAGATATAAAATAATGGAGGGTACGTCATTGCTCCACAAATAAATCTATAGATTCAGTACAATCCCAATCAAAACCCAGCAGATATTTTCCCCCAAAAAGAGGCATTGATGAGTCAATTTGAAAATTGATTTAGAAATTCCAGACAATCTAAGAAAAGAGAGCAAAGTTGAATCACTTAAGTTAGTAGTATGTAAGTATGGTATTGGCACAATGCTAGACAGATGATGGGACAGAGCAGGGAATCCATAAACAGCCTCGCACATATAACAGGTGACAGCACAGTGCAGGGAGAAAGGGCAGCCTCTTCAGCAAATGATGCTGGACCAATTGGATATCCATACGGACAAAATGAATCTTGATCATCTATATACAAAAATTAATCAAGATACACTGTACAGCTAAATGTCAGAGCTACAGCACTAAAGCTTCTGGAAGAAAGAAAAATATCCTTATGGCCAAGGTACAGTCAAGGTTTATTGAATGGGACACAAAAAACACTAATTATAAAGGGAAATATTGGTCATCTAAAGATTCCATAAAGAGAGCGAGAAAGCAAGCTGCAGAATGTAACACATATCCAGTAAAGAACTCACACCCAGAACGTAGAAACAACTTCTACGTTAATGAAAAAGATGCTCAGCCACATTGAAACGTGGCAAGTCACTTCAGGAAAGAGGATCTCCAAATTTCCAAGAAACACATGAAAAGGTGGTCAACCTCATTAGCAATTAGGGAAATGCGAATTAAAACTGGAGTGGGATATCAGTATACACTCACCAGAGGGGCTAAAATTAAAGAGACGGTCAATGCTAAGTGCTGACCAGGATATGGACAGACTAGAACTCTTGTTGCTGATGGGTATGAAAGTTAGTATAACTGGAAACTGCGCTGTCACCTACTGAAGCTGGACATACACATCTGTGACCCAGCTACTTTGCCCTTAGATAAACACAACAGGAAGGCATACATGTGGGCACCATATGTCATGTGAAAGAATATTTAGAGCAGCTTATTCATAATGGCCCCAAGTTGGAACAACCCACATGGTCATCAATAGTAGAATGGATGGAGGCAGAAGTAAATTGTTTTTGCAATGGAATACTCTGCAGTAACGAGAGTGAACAAATCATTGCCTCCCACACAACGTGGATGAACCTCAGAAACACAAAGCTGAGCGAAAAGAAGGTAGACACAGCAGAGGAAGTTCTATGTGAAGTTCAAAAATGGGCAAAATGAAGTAAACTAGGGTGATCCATGTCAGGCTAGTGGTCAGGACTTAAGGAAAGGACAGAAGGGGCTGCTGAGGCATTTAATTTTTTATATGAGGGGTAATTGCTGGAGTCAGTCTGCTTTTTGAAAACCTTACACTTCTTTCTTGAAGTATATTTTGATACAAACTTTACTGAAACTATTCTAAAATATTTGGTTCATTCAGATGCCCCTAATCCGGGGAGTGTAAGATATGGTGGGCATTTTTCTTGGTGATTAAAAAGGTTTCAAATAGATTGAGAGTTTTCAGGGGAAAGAATACAATATCACAGCAGTAGCTTTTCTGACTTAGGGATTTATAAAACTGACTCCTTCCTTTTTGCCAGTCTCTCACAGCCGACATCTGGCTGAAGGGCAGTTCATATAAAAAGACTTAGAGTTATGTTTGACGTTAAGATTAATATCAGTGTGAAGTAAAAGCCAAAAAAAAAAAAAAAAAATGCTCAGGTGAGAACTGAATACAAAACGTTGTTTTAGGATTTAATTTTCATGCTATTTAACTTTATAAGAGTTGGATTAAAATAGTCTGATGTTTTCTATAAATCCTTTTTAGTTAGGGACTTGCCTCCCACCAGGCAGGGATGGTATATTGGTTTCCTGTTGCTTCCTGACAAAGGACACAAACTTAGTGGCTCACAGCAGGACACATTTATCTTGCAGCCCTGGAGGTGAGGAGTCCGAAGTGGGTCTGCAGGGCGCCTGCGTTCTGGACGCTGGGGGAGAATCTATTTTGTTGTTGCTTTCTGATGCCTTCTACATTCCTTTGTTCCTGGTCTCTTCCTCCATTCTCCGAGCCCATCATCACCTCTGCTCCCGTCGAGACGTCTCCTCTTCTCTGTCTCGGACCCTTCTGCCTCCCTCCAGAAGGATCCCTATGACTATATTGGGCCCACGTGGATAATTGGGGATAATGTCTCCATCTCAGGATCTTCACCTTAATCACATCTGCAAAGTCCCTTTGCTATGTATGGTAATATATTTCCAGGTTCTGGGGATTAACACATGGCAATTTCTGGGGAGCCATATTTGGGGGAATCTGACAGAGGGGATTTTTATATTTTATCTTTACAAATAGCACAGTTCCTGATTCTCAGTAAGAGCTCATTGATATTTATTGAAGAGGTGAGTGTGAGGTTTTATTATTTGAAGTATAGTTTCTGGAAAAAAGAGAAGTGAATTCTTCTCCGATGCTCACTGCCACACCTGGAGTTCCGGGCTCAGCTCTAGGCACCTGTATGATGAAGGGATAGTTGATGGAATGAGAAAGGGCCTGGGAAACAAGTCACTGAAAAAATGGTTGAAGGGATCATGGATGTTTGTCCTGGAAGAGGGGTTGGGATGGAGTGGGTGGCATTAATTATCTTTAACTCTTTGAGGGAGTTAATATTAAGCTGTTTGAGTATAATAACAATAATATTTCAAACAAGAACAGGTGTTTCATAGCTTTGAATGCCCAAAGCATGGTTCCATTATTTTGTAAACTCATTAATTCTCACAGCAACCCTCGGAGAGTTGCTATATTCTCTATTTTACAGATAAGGAAAATGAGGCACATAGAGGTCATGCAACTTGTCCTAGGTCACACAGCTACAAAGTAGCAAAGCTAGGATTTAAACTTTGGCATTCTGCCTCTGGCATCATACTCTAAACCACCACATTGTCCTGCCTCATGCCTTTAGTTCCAGAATGTGCAATAGAAACTAGTGGCAGAAAGTTTTTTAAAAATAGAGGGCCAGTCCTGGCCGGTTTGGCTCAGTGGTTGGAGCGTCAGCCTGTGGTCCAGAGAGACCCGGGTTCGGTTCCCGTGAGGGCGCGTGCCTCAGTTGCAGTTTGTCCCCGGCCATGGTTGGTCGTGCGGGTGGCAGCCACTCGATGTGTCCCTTTCATGTTGATGTTTCTCTCTCTCTTTCTCTTCCTCTCTCTCCCTCCCACTCTATCTGAACAAAAGATGGAAAAATGTCCTTGGGTGAGGATAAAAAAAATAAAAAAATAAAAATAGAGGGCCAGATTTGGACTTGGTTTAAGGAAAAAACAGGATAACAATCAGAACTGCTTGGCAGCAGTTTCTCTGCCTTGTAATGTCACTGGAAATGATCCAGTGGGTTATTGTAAAAGGAATTCCCAAACCAACTGGAGATTAGACCAGATGACGATAAGGTCCCCACTGATTTTGAAATTCTGATTTGGGAGCATAATTACTTTTTCATTCTCTCTCTCGCTCAACCTTTTGACCTTTTATATAATAAAGATCCATTGTGAAATGTAGTTTATTCACTAACTTTCCAGATTTTATTTATTAGGAACTCTGACATCCTGGTGTGGTAGGCCATGTCCCTGCCCCTCTTAGAAGGCCATTGTTGCTCCGCCCATAAAGAGGTGGGGTCTCCCTCTTGCCTTGGGGCTGGCCTTTTGAGTTGCTTTGACCAATAACATGTTCCGTGAATTCTGAAGCCTGGTCCTAAGTGACTTTGCACTTCTTGCCTTTTTTTTGTTTTGAAACCCTGAAGCTGCCGCGCTGTGCAGGGTCTAGCCCACCAGAGGATGAGAGCCCACATGGAGAAGCCAGACACAGCTGGCATCAACTGCCAGACATGTGCGAGAGGTCATCTTGTGCCCCACCCCAGGCCCCGTTGAGCCACGTGGTGACCTTGTCATGAGTGGTGCCCGGTGAGGTCAGCAGAATGACTGCCCAGATTGGCATCACACAGAATCATGAGGAAGAATAACATCTTTGCTTTCAGCCACTGTGTTGGGATGGCTCAGTATGCAGCGATACGTAATACGACATTTCGGTGCATATTTGGAAGTAATGGTATGTATTCTAAAATATTCTGTAATTCAACTTTTTGCCCAGCTCAGCAGACCTCCTCCAATCTGGATAATCATTCTTCTGGGTTTGGAGAAGTGTTTCCCCATAGTATTATGTGGGTAGAAGAATACACTCCTTTTTTTTTTTTTTTTTTTGTGGTATGTGCCCCTAGCGGGAACCGAACCTGGGACTCTCTGGTCCTCAGGCCAACGCTCAACCACTGAGCCAAACTGGCCAGGGCAGAATACGACTTTATAAAACCCTTTAACAGGGTTTGGAGAAAACTGGGATGTTCGAAGACAGGATGAGTCTAGACTTGGGTTTTCTGGCAAAAATCATGTAATTTATATTCTGCAGAATAAGTTTCTGTTTCATTAATTTGGACCCTGGAAAAGAGCAAAAGTCTCATACCAATTTTTTTCAGATGCGCAGAATATTGCCCTACTATTTCATCTTCTCCGAGGCTGCTGCCGTTTCAGTGGGCTTGCGCTCCATTGCTTTTATTACTTTGTGGTTTCCAGAATGCTTGTTTGGTCCTGCATTTAGAACTCTTTTAACTTTACTCGGCCCTTATCTCTGTGGAACTGCTGACTTTCCCTTCCTATATCTGAACTAAATTGGTTTGGTTTAGTTTGTGTTCGGTAAATCTTTTAAGGAATGTATGAGTTAGGTATTTCTTATGTATTTTGATTACATCTAGTTGATTTTCAAGTTTTCTTTGCTCCCCAGGGGATATCTAAATTATACATAACTTAATAAATTATCTTGTGTTTATGTAGCTTATATTACCTGCTAACATCCAATGGATTGATTTCAGCATAGATGTTGAAAAAAAAATGAACCTGATGCACCCTGTAAGAATAGGGAGGTGGCGGGGGGAAGGCCCGGAGAGGGACTTGGTGGGTATGAATCTCAGCTCAGCTGCTTACTAGCTGGGTGATTTGGGGCAGGTTTCTTGACCTTTCTGGACCTGGGTTTTCTCGTGTGTTAAATGAGGATACCAGAATGACCAAACTCAGAGTTGTTATAAAGATTAAGTGAGATAATACTTGTGAAGTGCTTTCTCCACACAGGTAATCTCTAAATAGTACTTATTACAGCACAGCTGTTACCAGCTCGTAAAAATTCCTTTTTCTTTTTTTTATCCTCACCTGAGGACATTTTTGCATTCATCTTCAGATAGAGCAAGAGGGAGAGGGGGCCCTGGCCGGTTTGGCTCAGCGGTTGGAGCATCGGCCTGCGGTCCTGAGAGACCCGGGTTCGGTTCCCACTAAGGGCACGTACCTCGGTTGCAGTTTGTCCCCGGCCCTGGTTTGTCGTGAGGGTGGCAGCCACTCGATGTGTTCCTTTCTCATCGATGTTTCTCTCTCTCTCTCTGTTCCTCTCTCTCCCTCCCACTCTACCTGAACAAAAAATGGAAAAATGTCCTCGGGTGAGGATTTAAAAAAAAAGGGAGAGGGGGAGGAAGAGAGAGAGAGAAACATCATTGATGTGAGAGAGACACATCGACTGGCTGCCACCCACACAACCCCAACCAGGGCCGGGGACAAACTGCAACTGAGGTACGTGCCCTTAGCGGGAACCGAACCTGGGTCTCTCTGGAGCACAGGCCCACACTCCAACTGCTGAGCCAAACCAGCCAGGGTGAGGAAAATTTCAGTGTAGGACACTGAGCAACAGTTCGTAAAACTGGTCATGGTGATGCCGCTATCAGAAGGATGGTTAGTTTAATGCTGAGAGCACCCCTCTAATGGCCTGGTGCACGTGGGGATGGGGTGGTAGCCTGGTTAATGGTAGAAATCAAGACCGAGAAAATGTTTAAAATGGAAATAGTGGAATCCATTTGTTGCACACATCAAAAATAAAGATGACAAACATTTGAAATGATAATGGTGTTTGCCAGGGGGAACGCATCTTACGGAAGTTATGTTTATGCAAATTTCAGGCTTTGGCACAGTGAGCCCAGACTGGGGAACAGGATTTCTGTCTGTGAGAGCGTGGGTGTTGGGAACTCGGGTTCTGGTTTTGCTCGCTGGCTGCTTTTCCCTGAACAGGACTCTTAATTCCTGATAAAGAACTAACAGTACTCCTGGTGAGGATCAGAGTAGATGGCATCTTTGCAAGTGGGTGGAGTATTAAATGACGAGGTCAGTGTAAATGGAAGTTCCTTCAGTATAGAAGGAAAACTCTAGGAGCTGAGGCATTCTTGCCATTTCACACCGAAGATTTTATTCTGTGGGCCTCCTGAGTTCTGTGGTCCTCAGATGAATACTTTTCTGAAATACTTTGGGGGGTCTTATACTCAGTTTGGAGGAAGGGACAGTTCCCTGTTACTCCAGTCTGAATTCCTTCCCTGTGATCCCAGGGAAACCTCTGCCACAGTTTCCTTCCAACACCCAATATTGAATGCATTTTCTCCTTGGCTCCACTTGCCACACATTTCTCACTCTTGTTAATAATATTAGCTTTGAGATACGTGGTCTTACAGCTTTGGAGCTGCTGGTTTATGTTCTTTATTTTCCCTGTTTTAAAAAATATATATCCAACTGCCTCACGGACTAGTTGGATGCCAGATGCAACTTAATTTTTCTTCATCTGTGCTGCTCTGCTTGAGCACCTTCTCCCACTTCCCACCGAGGCCCCGGATCACTGACCTCTGCCTTAGACCCCACCACAGGGTCAGAGGGCTTCTTCCTGTGCTTTGCTCAAGTAGTGAAATGCACTAGCTCGTGAGCCTGAGGTTTCTTTAGGAAGACAAGTTTAAACTTGTAATCATATACGTTTAAGCCCTCTGCCTTGTGGCTCTTACTGTCTCTCCACCTAAACTGTCCACATTCCTTGTTCTTCACAGCCCTGACCAGCATTCGCACTGAGGTGGCAGTGTGCTAGACACCTGTTCCCCATCAGACGTCCAGCAGTCCCCCTCAGCTCTCACAATCCATGGCCCAGACTGGTCAGGTAGACTCTTACTTAAAAACAGGCCGTGTTGCTATAGATTGGCTCTTCCCTACAGAAACAGTGTTACAAATGATGATTCACGTCTGGGCTGTCTCACAGATACCCACGTAGCTGATCATGTTTCTGCAGGACTGAATGCGTGCACAAAGAAGAGAAAAGAAGGTTGCAGTTTGTCCCGGGCCCTGGTTGGGTTGTGCGGGTGGCAACCACTCGATGTGTCCCTTTCACGTCGATGTTTCTCTCCCCATCTCTTCCTCTCTCTCCCTCCCTCTCTATCTGAACAAAAAACGAAAAAATGTCCTCGGGTGAGGATAAAAAAAAAAAAAAATAGAAAAGAAGCATTGCTTTTTGCTTCTTTGATTTCATCTTGACAGCTTATGCCTGCAAAGGACATGCTCGTTCAGGGAATGAGGAGAGAAACGTGAGAATTTCCTGGGAGCGTTTTTGGGAACCTTTTTGAGCCAGGACATTTTTGTAAAGTCCTGGTTATATTCCCAAATGCGCAACTTTCCTCTTCTTTGATACTGTTGAATCACTACATTCTTCAAAACATGTCTGCTTTGATCTGCCTTCTGAGCGCGCCCCTGAAATGCACAGACAAGCCCTCACGGGGAGGACTCTTCTTGAGATAAGCGGGCAGGAGTTGAAAGGAGAGGTGTGAGGAAGCAAGGTCCGGTAAGAGCACGTGGGTGTCTGCGTGGTGGTGGTGTTTTGAAGAGGCGTCCCTGGAACTGGGAGCGATAGACCAAGAACAGTGAGAGTACCTCATGTCATTCCTTTGGGGACAAGAAAAGAGGTGGTGAGGATGAGGCAGAGACGCTGGGCAGAAAGCTCTCTAGGTTGTCCCCAAGGACTGTCTGTCCCGGGGGCCTTGGGTTGGGTTGGGAGGAGGAAGAGGAACAAGACATTCGAGAGCTCTGGGGATGTCCGTCTGCTGAAGGAGCCCAGCAGCAGGTGGGATGGCCATGTCCCACAGAAGGTCACTAGATGTCCTCGATTCCCAAAGGAAATCAGAGCTCTGGCTCAGTAAGCTCCTAATGAATTAAATCCACTCACTGGCCCTGCTGATGGACTGTAGCTAATGTTTGCCGAGTGTCCACTCTGTGCCAGACTCTGGAGAAGCATTTTACATTTCATCCATTCAGCAGCCCTGCGAGGAAACGCATCTGGGAGGCTGTGACCCAGGCAAGTCCCTCAGCCGACCCTGGACTGCCCCCAGCTCCGCTTGGTGCAGAGGGCACCACCGTGCTGTCAGGTGGAGGTCATGGGGTCCAGTCCCCAAGTTTTAAACGTGAGGACACAGCCCTCCGCTTTGTTTCTCGTTACCAGGTGTCTGCGTGTGTCTGCAAGACAGACAGACAGCTGAGAGCTGCCTCGTTGAGGGAAGTGTGACGGCCCTGAGCGTTGTAGTTCCGACCGTGAGATCATTACTGCAGAGGGACTGAGTGTCTAGAAGAGGGTTCGTGATGAGCTTCTAAAGAGCAGGGCTTCTAGAACTTTCCTTTAGTCTCCAGGACTATTTGTGTTCAAATTTCAGTAGCACTTTTAGGGGTTCAGCTCTTTGTTAATCACAGATTTGTAACGAAGTGAGGAGGTCATCCAACATACTGCTGCCCTCCTTTGAAAGGAGATGCATGACAAAACCCACAGGTTAACGTTAATTTCCCACTAAAGGAGTGGCTGGCATATTTCTACAAATTTCCAGAAAGAAATTTTAAGATATTCGAGGAGATGCCCGGTATTTAAAAATAAAGTGACTAGCCCGGCCGGTATACTCAGTGAACTGTGCGTGGTCCCATGGACTGAGAGGTCCCAGTTGGATTCTGGTCAGGGCACATGCCCGGGTTATGTGCAGGAGGCAGCCGATTGATGTATTGTTCTCACATCAATGTTTCTATCTCTCTAAACAAATCAGAAAAAAAAAAAACATATTAAAAATAAATTAATAAATAAAAATAGAGCGATTAGAAATGTGTGAAGCTAGAAGTAGTTCCGTAAACCAGTCGGGGGACCCAGGAGGGCTGTCGTTGAAGTTCGAAGAGTTAAAGAGTCCCAGACAGAAAGCGTGAATGTCTGCTTTTGGGTCTGAGGTTGCGGGAGAAACCTGAACCGACCTGACTTTCAGGGCTCTCTGGTTAGAGGACCACTCACTTGTGACCTCATATTTCATGCAAGCACAAGTTTATATCCCTTTCTGTTCTGTGTCCCCTTAGTCCGAAGAAAGCGGTTTGGGTGTGGCAGATTCTGGGCCGGGCTCTAAGGACGAGTATCTCCTTGGACGCCCTGGCTCAGGGGACGGTGAGGGCCAGGTGGTCCCAGTCACACGTAAGGAGGGAGACTGACTGCTGCAGAGTGGGCACCTAGCAGTGTTTGCACAGCGGCCCGGCTCTGCCGTGAGCTTCCCTTTACGTGCACAGAAGAGGGAAGGCGGAACAGTTTCCCTGAACCCATTCTTAGGAGCAGCCGAGGGAGGACACTGGCGGGGAGGGCCAGGAGGTTCAAGCCAGTGGCTTAGAACAGGTTGGAGATGATTTGAGCTTTTCTTTCATTCAGGCTTTTGATGCCATGTTTTATTCAGGGAGCAGCTTGTAGTCCCTTCTTGCTACATCACACACTCTGTGCTAGGTGTTGAGGACTCAGAGACCATGGTCCCTGCTCCCTACAGGTCCACTCCACGGGGAGAGACAGGTGTATCAGGCAACGAGGACAGAACTGTCTGGTGAACACTGTGATGGGAGGAGGATGGGGTCTACAGGAGCTCAGAGGGAGAGACCTTCCCCCAGGGAAGCAGGGTGTGTGTGTGTGTGTGTGTGTGTGTGTGTGTGTGTGTGTGTACATGAACTGGCAGGAGGAGGTTTCACGGGGGTTATATCTGTGTCACCTTGAATAGTGACGGGTCCCTGGGAGAGTGAGTGAACGGACTGGTGATAATGTGCTGTTCTCTAGTGTCACGTCCAGGCTTAGTGTTTTCATTTGTTTCTCTGTCTAGAAACTCTCCACTTGGGCATCAGGACCTCCTGTCACAAGAAGCAATGCTGCCCCGCTGGGAACTGTCTTTCTACCTGCTTGCCTCACTCGGCTTCCACTTCTATTCTTTCTATGAAGTTTACAAAACCTCCAGAGGTAAGTCCCAACTTTTCTGAACTTGTATCCAGAAAGAAAGGTGGGCGGTGGTGCTCAGGAAGATGGCCTCGGGCTCTTGGGATGACTCGGGCCCCACTTTGCTTTCCCTTCTTCTTAGACATTTTGAATCAACGAGTCAGTGGAGTTTTCCACCACAATCCTGGCTCTCTTAGGTGGTCCTGTGGCGAGTCCTCCGTAATAAGGGGGTTTGAGTCAGTGGCTCTTGAAGGCCGCAGAGGGGACTTGCATCATAATTTGCAGTAACCTCTGACTCTCTTGCAGACATCTGGAGACAGCTCATGGTGTTAGAGGCCCAGACTCCTTTTCCTCTTCTTGTTCTGCTGTCTTTAGTACTCCTGTGTGTATTTAGAAGAGGAATCATCACCAAGTCCACATTCCAGCCCACTGGAAGGGGGTTGGGAACCTTCCTTTCCTTTAAGGGTAGCTTGGCTAGTTACCCTCGTCACTTCTCACATCCAGTTGGCCAGATCTGAGCTCTGGCCACCCCCGGGAGGCTGGGAATGCCATCTGTAGTTTGGCGGCTGTACTGTGGAAGAAAGAATTTTGGAGGCAGCATGAGCGATCTCTTCCGTAGTCAGGGACAGTTTCCTAGAGGTGATGGTGAGCCTTGCCCTGAGGAAGAACAGGAGTCAGCCCTATGAGAAGGGGGAGGATCTGTGGACAGAGATGAGTGTGCAGGCAAGTAGCCAAGTGTGTGCAGTGCCACTGGGGTGTGAGAAAACACAGCGTGGGCTGGGAAGTGCACACCACTCCCTCGGACTGGCGTGCAGAGTGCAAGGGGAGAGGGGCACGAGTAGAGCTTCGAGCACAAAGCAGGGATAGCGTGTGAAAGACCTCACATATTCCGCTGAGGGCGCAGGGCTGTATCTCAGGGCAGGGCAATCTGTAGTCGTGGTCACTTAAAACGGCAGCGGCAGGTTTTGGGAAGCACAGCTGGGCAGGCCCGACCCTCAGCCTCTACCTCCTGTGCTCCACCAGGATGGACTTTTCTCCCGTTCTGCGTATGTCCCTCAGAATAGCCGACACAGTATGGAAGGAGATGAACGAAGTCAGCAACCTAACACCACCCAACTCTGAGACGTAATATTGTGTTGGCTATTCTGGATATTTTGCCTCTCCATATAAACGTCAAAATCAGTTCGTCATTATCCACAAGATAGCTTGCTGGGATTTTGATTGGAATTACACTGAATCTGTAGATCAAGTTGGGAAGAATTGACATCTTAACAATAGTTCTTGATTTCTTTCATCAGAGTTTTCTAGGTTTCCTCATATATCACTTGTACATATTTGTTAAATTTATACCTAAGTATTTCAGTTTGGGGGCAGCTAATATAAATGGTATTGTGTTTTTAATTTCAAATTCCACTTGTTCATTGCTGATTCATAGGGAAGCAATTGACTTTTATATATTAATTTTGTGTCATATAACCTTGCTCTAATTCCTTATTCCAGGAGATTCTTTGGATTTTCTTCCTAGAAAATCATGTTATCTGCATACCAAGAGTCTTATTTCTTCCTTTTCATTCTGTGTATGATTTATTTCGTTTTCTTGTCTTATTGCATTAGTTAGTACTTGCAGCACGATATGAAAAGGAGTGGTGAAAGGGGACATTCTTTCTTTTTTCCTGACCTTAGCAAGAAAGCTTCTAATTTCTCATTATTAAATATAATGTTAGCTGTAGGTTTTTGTAGATGTTCTTTATCTAATTGAGCAAGTTTCCCTCTATTTCTAATTTACTGAGAGTTTTCATCATAAATGAGTGTTGGATTTTGTCAACTGGTTTTTGTGCATCTATTGATATGATCATATGATTTTTCTTTTCTAACGTATTGATGTGATGGATTCCACTAATTGATTTTTGTGTTTGGTGAGACTTTGTTTTTAATAAACCTGGACTTGACTCAGCTGGGCAGTTCTTCTGCTTCATGTATCGTTACCTGGGGCTGCCATCATCTGATGGCTTCACTGGGCTGAAATGTCTATGATGGCTCACTCACATGGCTGGCTGGCAGCCAAGAGTTCAGCTGGGCACTGTCAATTGGAGTGCTGTGGTTCTCTCTCAGGAGCTGTCCATGTGGCTTTCATGTCTCATAACAGAACAGCTAGGTTCCAGGAGGGAGTGTTGCAAGCGCACAAAAGCAGAAGCATCACATCTCTTAAAGCCCAGCCTGGGAGGTTGTATAGGTTCCTTCTGCCTCATGTATTGGTTAAAGCAAATCACAGGGCCAGTCCAGATTCAAGGGGAGGAAAGACCACCCCTCTGTATGGCTGGATTAGAATGTATGTATAGGGGGAGAAGGAACTGATGGTGGCCATCTTTGGAGTCTCTCCAGCACATGGATGCCGAGACTGGAAGATGTAACTTGTTCAAGGTCACACATCTAACAAGTAATGGAACTGGGTTTAAACTCTAGATCCAATATTTTGTTCTGTTCTGCCACTCGTATTTATAGATAATTCAGTTTCCTAAAGCACCTTGCTTTAAAGGCAAAGCCCTTGTGTCTATTCTACTATTGAACTTTAAACTTGTATCCCACAGGAATAACATTTTTCCTTTCTGTGCCGTGTAGCTACAGGCTTGGGGGTGGAAGGGGGCCCTTCTGTGGGTACAAAACTTCTGCACCTCGACTGATTCAGAGGCTGTAGTGCTGTCTGACTCATTACTGACCACTGCCAAGCCTAACACTCCTTTATCTTTTATGTTTTTCCTGTTCATGGCAGTGCTAACGTGTTTGGCCACTCCCAAGAACGGTCTTCTTTCTAATGCTTTTGCCAGTTCAGCTCAGGGAAGCCGACCCCCCTGCCTGGCCAAAGTGTGAGATTAAGTATGAATGCTGAGTTTTTGCTTTCTAATTCAGGAGAAAAGTGCTGCTTACTCGCAGGTCTTTGGGAAAACTGTCTTCTGTCAACACTTTTGGGGTGTCTGTATCTGGAGCAGATACAGGCAGGGCCCAGGACAAACTGGAGGCTCAGAACTTATTAAGTGGTATGCTGCCCGTGGGCGTCCGCACAGCTGCACTTCTGGGCATGGGGCTTGTTTACTGTGTCTCCCATCAGAGTGGCAAGGTTATCAGGACCCTGGGGACAGCAGGCTGAATTCAGCAGCCTTCGTCCAGTGGCATCTCCTGGTAAATCCACAGCAGGGACCAAACAGAACACCCCTTGTTCCTCCCAACTCTGCCAAGCATAGGGCATCTCAAAGGCATATGGAAATACTGGGGGTGGTGGGTGGAGATGCTGTGCCTGGTGACCTCTCCCCGCGTGCTCTGCACTCAGTATCCTGGCTAATCCAGACCTACTGCTTTAAGCGTGTGCTTCGTGGTTTAGTAGAGGTAGAAACACTTTTATTTCTCCCTGCTTGCACATAACACGAGGAAAGGTATGGTACGCCATGCTCAACCCTGAAAGAATTCATGCCGCTGCCCAAAGAAAGGCCATGTGCTTTTGTGTTTCCTTCAGTTTAGTGCAGTTCTTAGACTGAGAACAGTTATCAGTGAAAACTGAAGAAGCATCTAGGAGGGGAAGTCGTCGGCTGCTGTTTCAATTTACTACCTATTGGTTTATATTGACATTTTCTATTTTTTTTCTGGTATCTGTTTTGACACTTTTTGATTTTCAAGGGATCTATGCATTTTATGTAGGTTTTTAATTTCATTAGTATATTGTGGTTCAGAATACTCTTATTTTAATTTTTTTGTTATTTCTGTAATTGGCTTTTCTTTTTCATTGTACATGTTGTTCACTTCTATTTTCTCTGTAACTTCCTCCCTTGTTCATCTCTCCTTCCTGTTCTTTTTTTTTCTTTGATCAAGTGTGCCAGAGAGCTTATTATTCTTTTCAGCTTTGGGCTTTGTTAAATTTCTCAATTGTTTTTTTTTATTCTCTAGTTCATTGACTTCTGCCTTATCTTATTATTTCCTTCCTTATTGTTTCTTCAGGCTTGCTTTGTTCCTTTTTATTCCACCTTCTTGAATCGAATGCTTAGCTCATTGATTCTAAGGAATCAGTTCATATGGTTGTGTTGTGTTGTCTTTCTCTGAAGGATTTTCATAAGAGGAATGACAGTCAAACACATGAATGTTTTTAAGGTTCTTGCTAGACATGCCCAGACTCTCTCCAGGAGGCTGTGCCGGTGAACACTTCTTCTGTTGGAGAGTGTCCACCTTATTTTAGTCCCAGTGAGCTGAGCTTTCTTCTTTAAGCCGTCTCACATGTATTTGGTATTTCACATGAAGTGAAGCGTTAAATTGTTTTTTTTCCCAAATAGATACCCAAACACAATTTATTAATCTTTCTTTCCATATTAAATTATGATGCTAAAAAATATTTTAATTGATTTTTTGGAGAGAGATGAAAGGGGAGAGAGACAGAAATATCCATCAGCTGTCTCCTGCACTCCCCCTGCTGGGGATCCAGCCTGCAACCCAGGCATGTGCCCTGACCCGGAATCGAACCAGCGACCTTTTTGTGCACAAGACAACGCCCAGCCAACCAAGCCACACCAGTCAGGGCTACGAGGCAATCTTAATCATGTGCTAAAATCTTATATATTCTCCAGTCTGTTTGGGGAGATATCTTTTGTTTGTTTCTTTGATGTCTCAACCAAGTCTTACATTAGTACTGAACTGCTTTAATTATTTTTGCCTTATAAAATGTTTGAGTATCCAGTGGAGTTAGTTACCACTCATTGTTCTTTATTTCCACACTTTCCTTATCTATTTTTATTCTTCCAGATACATATTTGAAATTCTTTAAATAATCTCAATTGTGTTCTTATTAGAACTACAGCAAATCTAAAAATTAATTTATAATAATTAACATTCTTATAATATTGTGTCTTTCCATCTAGGAATATGGTATTTTTTATTTATACAAGGTCTTCTGTTACTTCTTTTAATGAAGGTTCATGGTCTTCTTCATAATAATTCCTGCTAAAATTCCTGTTAAGAGTATTTCTTAAGTCTTTTTTTTTTTT